TTAGGGTAAAAATTATATAATAAATTTTCAAATATAATTTAATTTTAAATTTTACGAAAAATTCTGAAACTTAGAACTTAATGAAATGTTATGTTTAAAGTATTCATATAAATAAATGAGGGAAAATAAATCTATTACGAAAATATTAGAAGCCAAATTTATTTGTCAATGTTTTTTAATATTTTACTCTGGGAAAGTGGAGCATGGAAACGTATATATTTAAAGTGTAGTTTATTTAATTACTACATGTCTGCATGGGTATGTCCGATTATACTGGCAATGAGAAAAAACACTAATTTGACAATATAATAATTGAATTTTTCTATGGTATTTTAATTGGTACGTAGAACAAGATTATTTTAGATCATATAAGGTAGCAACAGACAATGAAACAATACCAATAGCTAGTTGGGATAATGAAAGGATTGGTGAAGATTGTATGTTTTATAAATGAAGTCACTTTTGAGAGGTACAGCTCTACCTAAAAAATTATTTATTTTTTATACCAAAATTTAATACTGATGTGGTTAGTACGTTGTGATTTATTGATACAAAGAGCAATGTTTGATCAGGTATAACATCTTTTAAAATTTCCAATAAATACTACTTGTACCAAGGGTTTTATATGTTGAACAAGTCAACTTCCACATAAAAAAAAAAAATCCATTTTTTAAAAAAACTTAGATATGATTTATGATGTTCTATGAAGAACTTTCATTGAACATTTAGATTGGTATCAAGTATTTTAAAATGAGAAATAAAAGAGTGGTATATTGGCCTATCTATGAGTGCACCCTAATGGCACATTCAAAGGCGAGTGCCACTAGCCCACTGTGCCTAAAAAATGATTCCAAGATTTATAATTTCTTACCTCTGTATCGTACCTTACACTTCAAGCATATTGTCTACCTAACTCCATCATAAATTATGGATCCTAATCATCAATGCATATGATGAACACTGAACCCTCAACACGTTGTATGATAATTCTTCTTATCTTTATTGATGAAGACATTGAAATCTATATTAATCCATATCCTTCCTTTGAAACAATATTCCAACATCTAAATTAGATGTTTGAATCAATGTCTAAATTTTCTGTTTTCAAGTAAAATATTTGGTGTCACTAGATACTAGGAGGGCCAATATTTGAGATGTACTCTTAAATACTTTTGACTTCTTGTCTAAAAGTAGGTTCCACAGTAGAATCCAAGATGACAGAAAAATAGTCACCTCACAAAAGCAAATTAGTTCCTAGTTTCATTTTCCCAGCATGACTAGCCAAGAGAACCAACTCCTTGATTTGACTTCATTTTTTATGATTAAGACGAATTCAATATCTGTAATTGTTTGTCCTTTTAGACTACTCAACTCTAACCAAAGGGCCTAATTCCACCTTGTCAATCTAAATTCACATCTTTATCTAACTGAACTGTACCAAAACTTGTCCCTAGTGAATGACATAGTAAGTTTCTATTTTCTACTTGCCATTGAGATCCTCAGTATGTTGTCATTTGATGTTCAAGGGCTTATATTTATATTGGTAATAAATTTAATGTCTTGAATGGTCAGCCAATTACTTTGGATGAATGTGATTTTAGCAAGAGTTGGTGTTTCCTAATTAAATTTTAAAAAGACTAACTTATTTTCCATGAAAAAAGTAACCGAATTAATTTACATTCTCTTCTACATTTTCTCGGATTTGATACATTAGGTGACTTTTATCTCATTGTATGATGTTCCTATCATATTATAAATGATCATTTTACCCTTTGTGCCAACTTTTTGAACACCAAAACCTGATTTAGTTTAATAGTTAATTTCTATGACTTATAGTAAATTATCAGGAATTAATCCAGTATTATCTCATATATTATTTTTTCCCATGTAACTTGTAATGAGTGTGTTTTCTTATCTTGCTCTTTTTTTTTTTTTACCCCAGATGATTTTCTTAAGAGAGACTTTTCTGAATAATCAATTTTACATAGAAAAAAAATCTACAATGATTTGGAATGATTACCCAATGTATATCACACAAACTGATTATAATTAACCTGCAGCATTTTCTACTTATATCTGAAACCTATCTTGCTTCAAGCAAACAGAAAGATATCATAATTACATCGTTACCTTATAGAAACTTTTCAAGTCCATCAAAATGACTAAAACACTGGAAATGTAAAACGTTTCAAACCAAGAGTTTATTACAATAAAAAGAGCGAATGACAGCCGAACTCTGAATCCTGTCCCATTAATTTCCACCTTGGAAACTACAGACAGAACATTAGGATTTCCTTTACTGTCGTTCATACAAGCGCATCGTTTTACTTGGTTATTCTTCCAAAACAAGCTAGCTTCCATTGCCTAGACGCCAAGAGATTTTGATGTCCTTTATAAGATGCTCAGATGACCGTTTTATCGGCATAGTAAAAGCTTTTATAACTATGACGTTTCAGACTAACATCAAAATATCTATATTTTATTTATTTATTTAGGTAATCTATCTAAATGTCCGCAGAAGTTCTATGCAAGAACGGTTAGAACAAATCTTGGGCAGTGAGGTAACATACAAGAACGTCCAGGTCACCGACGCCGCCTAAAGGTCAATCCTGGCATGGCGAGCGGAGCATCTGCCAACAGCTTCAACCGAAGGTCAACATGCCCAAGCTCAGGGCCGCCATCCCCTCGATATGCCTCTCTCCTTGATGGCCTCTCTCACTTTACTGAAGATGAATTAAGTTGTTGACATGATGTACAGGCCGACGTGAATTTTTTTTCCATGCATTTCGTCGTGAATTCTGTTTTTTCAGGGGATTGCGAATCGATGAAATTGCCCATTAGCTGTTTGAGTTTTACTTGTTGCCTTTGCCATGCATAATGGCGGGTGAGGGATTCCTGGGGCCGATCCGATGCAACCATTGAACGGCTTTATTTCCGTGTTCACACGTGACAGTAAGTGCAAAGCTTGAAATAAATGGACACAAGAGGCCAGACCCAGTTTCATTTTGAGGCACAAACCTATGAAAGTAGCATATGATGATAAATACATATATACATACATACATGGATGTAGATTCAGCAATGCCAATTCCCTGGGTCAATCATAGGGAATGGTTATTCTATTATGTTAGTCTGGAGGCGTCAAATTGTTCCCTCCAGGTGTAGGAGAACATTTTATCTTTCAAACTCTTGAGCTGACCATAGAATTTGGGTCATACTCCTAACATTCTAAAAAATTCTTGTAAATTACGAAAAGTATTATGGAAGTAGTGCACTGCCACAATTATCTCGCAAGAGCTAATTTCCATTAAACCAGAGTGGAAAGCACGCATTTTGGATTATTTCATTAACTTAGGAATGGTCGTAATATTTATGAAGTTATAACGCATACCTTTAGTGGAAGGTGTAAAGAGAAAGGAAAAATTAGACTCTATTGATCAAGAATACTGCAAGAAAGATTTTAGTTGGATGCGAAGCATGCTTGGAATGTTTTCGAGCAATATCTTAATGATCTGCGATGTCTCTTTTCGGCTATCCTCATAGAATCTCAAGAGAGACTTCATGAGAAGAATTTCAGTAGGGCAATTTTTTCCTATTGTACAATTCACGAGTTTGGGATGACCAGCGTGTATCCGTCCCAGAGTGGGTGCTTTGGATCTTTTTTACTTCTTCACATCATCAAAATTTACCGACTTTTCGTGATACAATAGGCATGTGATTTATCTACGTGCTTTGTACGGTGGACTGGAACGCCTCAGGAGATGGGCCCAGGATTCTTCATTTTGGCTTTTCTGACTCCCATTCGTGGACTTCATCAGTTAAATTTTTATCCTATCATAAGATGCTGTGAATGCGCCTTACGGATGAAGTTCGTACGGAGTACGCAATGAGAAGGTCAACAATTCAATGTTTTTTTTTATATTTTCTTCGTTCGTGTAAGACACGTTGAGTGTAATTAGGATTTTCTAAGACATTAGTGAAGACAGTCCTCAATACGATTCGCTGGTTTCCCCTCGCAAGTGATCTTCTGGAACCAGTTTCAACTTCCGTAATTCACATATGATATGTCTGGAAGTCTCTGTGTTATTAAATATGCAATATCTAACAACCAATCAGGGCTGTTCTAAATCTGGCTCGTCTAAAGCGTAGCCTGGATCTCTCATATTGACCCCCATGCCTCGATCCTTGTGGAACACGTCGTCAATGGATAATCACGGCGAGACAGAAAACAGAATGATGGGTTTACTCACCTCCCGCCGTCTCCATTCGATTGAGTGGTGGCTGCTCGATCGGAAACATCCTTTCCAGCGTATGGAACTCGGGATCGACTGAATAAATCCCTCGCCGGCGTTTCTCTGAGAGTAAAAGGATATTATAAACATTTTAAATCATTTGCGTTTGACGGAAGGCATAATAAGATAGGGAGATGACTTGACGGAGGTCAGAAAGAAAGTTTACCAAGCTACCAAAGAGGAGTTCCGTTTGTTGATGAATCCCATGTGATGCACTGATGTCATCCTCCCTCAAAGGGATGTACCAGCTCCCGGTTTTAACGGCGTTGACCGTGTTCAGGCGTTATCATCGTAGGTTAGTCAGAGAACTCGAACTCTTCGAGCGACTAACTCGAATTCTTGACGCGAAACACATGCATGGGCGAATTAAGAGAGGAAGAGCGACGGGGCGCCGCCACCGGCAAGGCGACCCTTCCGTATAAGCCACCACTATCTCTTGACCCATATCCTTCGGACATGCCGGACTGCCGGAAGACTTGACGAGGAAGCTCTTTTCCTCCGACAGCGTCGTTTCTCTATAAATGCCACGCCCCATCTATCAGTTTTCCACGTCCACAGCTTCAGATATCCAACGCAAGTTCTGAAGATTAGGCTCTCTCTCTCTCTCTCTCTCTCTCTCTCTCTCTCTCTCTCTCTCCCTCCCTCCTTCCCTCCCTCCTCTCTCGTACTCATCCCCACACACACCCCTCTTGAGCATACTCAGCGAAGATGGGTGTGCAGAAGATTCTCTTTATCCTCGGCTTCCTGCTGCTCCTTCGTGGGGGCGATTCGCAGGAAAAAACGTTCTCCAGCGGCACCTCCTTCCATAGCAGTCCCCACATTACAGACTTCTCCTCGATGAGGAAACTGTCTCCCGTGACCGGCAACGAACGGCGGCGGTCTACTTTGGGGAGCTTACTTACGGTCGTGAACGTGAAGGATTTCGGTGCCCGGGGCGACGGATTGTCGGACGACACCAAGGTGGTAAACCATTCAACAATCTCTTCTATCGCAGATGCGAGTCTTAATCTAAACATTCGGCGACCCGCCCGTCAATTATATTCTCTGCAGGCTTTCACCGCTGCATGGAAGGCTGCTTGCTCTTCCTCCGCGCATGTCACCATGCTGGTGCCCGAGAGGAAAGCCTACCTACTTAAACCCATTGCCTTCTCCGGTCCTTGCAAGTCTCCAGTAACTGTAGCGGTGAGACGCAACCACCTCAACAGCAACCCCGTTCGCACCAAAGTCTTATCGCTTCGCGCTTCCTGAGGCTTCATCTTTTCACTGTCATCGATAGATCAAGGGAACAATTCTCGCCTCCGGAAGGATATCAGACTGGGATGGAGCGGACCGCAGGCTCTGGATGCTGTTCAAGGAGGTGGACGGCCTCAGGGTGGAAGGCGGTGGAACCATCGACGGCAACGGGCAGGTGTGGTGGAAGGTATCCTGCAAAGTCGACTCCGCGCAGGTACGAACCCTTTTAATTTCTCCACTCGTTCAATCCATGGAACAGCCAGTGGAAACTCTTTCTGTCCCGGGCTTAGTTCATCTCGACCAGTTCACTGACTCGTCCTCTGATCTTTCTTCTGCATGACGTTATAGCCGTGCAAGGGAGCCCCTACGGTACGTCCTGGACCAGACTCAACTTGTTCCGTTCCTGGGTTTGGAAGTTTGCGAGTTGACTTGTGAGGTTGACCTCTTTCAGGCGTTGACGTTCAAATCCTGCCGCGGCTTGACCGTGAACGATCTGAGGTTCAAGAACAGCCAGCAGATGCACGTCACCTTCTCGAAGTCCGCCAACGTGCGGATCTCCAGACTGACGATCTCCGCCCCCGGGAATAGTCCCAACACCGACGGAATCCACGTCACCGGCAGCACCGACGTTAAGATCAGTGACTCCTTCATCAGGACAGGTCCCCCCTTCGCCTCCTCTTGGCCTGTCCAATCCGATAAAACGCGAAGCATTCAGGTCGTGACTTCGGTTTGAATTCCTCCCTGTAGGCGACGACTGCATCTCCATCGTCAGCGGCTCAAGCTCCATTACGGCCACCAACATCGTCTGCGGACCGGGCCACGGAATCAGGTACCCACATATACCGGCGATGTGCTGGGATCTGCTGCTGGCTTCCTCTCCCTTCTCCCCCGTTGACGCATCACATCGTCGCTGGCAGTATCGGGAGCCTTGGAGCCAACGGTGCGGAACACACCGTTTCCGACGTCTTGGTCGACACGGCGCGACTGGAGGGAACGACCAACGGAGTCCGGATCAAGACCTGGCAGGTAACGCCATCTGACTGACTACCCAACCCGAATTCTCTCGCGCTCCCCAAACTGACACTGCGACGACGGCGTCCTTCGGTTCTCTCCCTTCAGGGTGGAAAAGGGTACGCCAGAAACATCATCTTCAGGAACATCGTGATGGACAACGTGAGGAACCCTATAATCATCGACCAGAACTACTGCGACTCCTCCAAGCCCTGCAGCGAACAGGTGGAGTATGCAGCGCCCACACTTTGCGCCTCTCTTGCGTCCGCACTCTCTTTCTCGCTCTCGTTTTCCCGCTTTGTTCCTCTCGCTAATCTTCCGTTCGCCCTTGGCCGCACAGAAATCTGCGGTCGCCGTGAGTGGAGTGACCTATAAGAACGTCACGGGGACAAGCGCCACCGCGGTGGCCATGGACTTCGACTGCAGCCGCACCGTTCCCTGCCGAGGGATAACGCTGCAGGACGTCCACCTCGTTACGGCGAGCGGAGCATCTGCCGAGAGCTTCTGCCGCAACGTCAACTTGTCTAAATCCGGCACCGTTGTCCCATCAACGTGCTCCTCCTGAAGACGCCTCCTTCCGTCCTGGAGGAAAGAAACAAATTCATTCATTAAACCTCGTAACAGACAGATGTAAATTCATTCATTTCGTTATTACCCTAACGTCGGTGTTGGATTGGAACCCCGTGTAAATTTGTATCTAGTGTAGCCTCTGAAGTCGTGTAAGTTAAAGTCACTAGTATATGTGCACAGAATCCTCATGTTTGTCACAAGAACAACTCACTCCCGCTATTCAAAAAAGGGTCATATATCTATGCATCTGCATATTCGCGACAGATGGACGCGAGAGAGAGAAAGGGGTGTTAGTGTGCAGAGGGGGAACATTCCCCGTGGACCCCTTCATCTAAACTCCGCTGTGGCATTATGTAAGTAGGTACTCTTACGAGCCCAAAACCAGGGGAAGATGAACATGAAAAAGAAATATGATTGGACTGATCACTCCCTGCGCATTTATTATGACTTATTATTTATTTGCTTAGGGAGAACCATAAGAGATGGCAATTTACAGTGAGGAAATGCTTCAAGGATATATTACGATGTAGCCTGAGGGCACATTAGGAAATATTGTGGTTGTCTCCTTATATAATGAGAGATAAACCTCAATGAAAATCGAGGTAGTGTTTATGCCGCTCCTCCCCTCTGTCCTCTAGGACAAGAAAGTTTATCCTTCTGTTTCCTTTCTCTTTCCATGATGACATAGTATCATAGTAGGTTTACTCCGCTATGGTTTCTATCTTTAAGTTCTTCTGTCATTTAGAGGCATGAAATATTTTTGTCTACAGGCATGTTACCCTTCCACGATTCAAAAGCATCTTTTGCCTTCCGTTAGTCTTCGAGACTAGGGATGGTGTGTTTTTTCTTACTAGAGATAATTGCGGCTTTAAAATACTCTTCTTCTATTCGTCAGCGATGTATCTAGGTTCATCACCAGTAGGTTTGCTAATAGCATATTCAGGTTCATTAGCGGCATTTCTATCTGCATCCAGCCCTCTAATCCAAAGGGCAGTGTATCCAAGTCCATCGCCACTATTTTCATTTTCATCAGTGATTCTTAGAGCGAAAATTGCCTCAAGATTCATTCACCTCTAACCCCCATTACATAGGGAGGAACTTTACAAAATTTTTCCAAAACACCCTCAGTGTTTTACAGAGTTTTCTTACAACCTAGAATTTCTAACATTTGTCAACAGCTTATTTTCTCTGCTATTCAAGATAATTTATTCTATAGTTCATCTTGAGGGGGAGTATTAAGACATAACCTGAAGACATACTAGAAAATATCATGTATGGTTCTCTCGGTATATAAAGGGAGATTAGTATCGATCAAAATCATAGTATTTCTATTGCTCCTCCCTAGTGAGAAAAAAAAAACTCATCCCTCTATCTCCCGCCTCTTTCCATCAATATGGACAAGGAGTTGAATTAAAGAGCGGGGACTAGAAGAAGATAAAATCTGAAATCTCAATAGGAGCAATATAGAGTGAATATAGGAAGAAGCACAAGAAGTCGTTCATTATTGTTGCATAATAATTTAATGGCTACAAACAGAATGGATATATGAAGCTCGACTCATTTTCATTGAGATCGATCAGTGACAATAGGAGCACAAATATGATCTTATCACTTATTTAATGGAAGGTTCTGCAAATGGATAACTAGCTTAAGGCATGGCTTCATAGTGTCTTTGTAGTAGATGTAGAAAAGATTTATTTCTTTGGCTCCAAAGAAATAAGATAGTATCCCAAGAGAGTGAGCTACTTATGGGTTCTCAATTTCGATCATCTCCAACCTAGACAATACTAGGGTATCATTGGAGAATATTTTTAGATTAAGATGAGAGGAAGATACGATTGCATAAGGCACATTTAGTAAAACTAAAAATATGCAAGAGAGAGAAAAATGAAAGTGTTCTTTGAGAACTTATGTACTTTCTAACAATATGAGAAACACGAATCATATGTCCAGCCATGCTTTATTGTAATAAATGAGACTAGCAATAAGTATGTCAATTAGGAGAATAATCAGAAGGTATGCTGTCAGGACTTCACTTATCTGAATATTCTGAATCCATTCCTATCCCAACTAAATAACATAGAAGAAAATATTTGTCATCTTAATGAGTTTAGTAACTTAATTTGTATCATCTGTCCACTAAAATCATTTCCATGATGGATATATCATCTAAATTGATAAGAATTGAGAGAAGGCAACAACATTAGCTTCTAGTAAATTTGGGAGAGTCATAAGTACTTTCTACAAGCCTTTTTTAGTAATATAAAAGAGAAAATGTATATTTAAAAACGTAGGTCTTACTTCAACCAATTTAACATACTTTAATATTTTAAATTTAATCAACAATAAGGATTGAGAAGGTGAAAAAGTTAGACTTTTTCGATCCTCTATGTGAAGTAATGAATTTTAACGTTTCATTGGTTTAGTAAGGTGAAAAAATTGTAGAATTACATTAAGGGCACAACCATTTATCCAAAAAGAGAAAGTCATTTTTATATGCAGTGACATATTCTTGAGTTAATCCCATGTACCATACATGCTTCATATCCTTCCCAAGTTTCTTCCGTTTTTTTTGTTTTTAAACCTAATTTACTACGAACTGTTGATTCTCTATGGGGTACGTCAACAAGATCACTAGCATAATCTTTCCCAATGGCTTAAAGGTCTTCTTTTCCATTGTTTTCCTGAACACGTCAAAGTGGTGATCATAATGAGAAAACTGATAGGCTAGAAAACAGAATAATAATTGTTACTTTATTATCTCATGAGATTCGTCCTCATTATTCATTTTTAAGCAGAAAAGAAAAAGAAACAACATTGGAAGAAAACTTGTAAGTGAATTGTGTAGGTTTTTCTTCAGTGGTATAAGAATTACAAGGAAAGGAATATTAGGAATATAGGGAAGCAGATAATAGACGAGTATAAAGCAGAAATAATGGAAAATTTTCCCAAAAGAAGAGAAAAAAGCCATTAATTTAATCATAGCATGTATAACACTCTGGTTGAAAAATCATTCGAAGATGACACCCTTTGCTATTTTTTTGTTGTTTCACATAAGGAGAGAAATAAAGGTAAAGCAATATAAATGAAACTTAGAATAACGAAAAAAGGAGTTACAGAAACACTAATATTGTGAAACTCTACAATGTTCGATGATAAAATAAAATTAAAAAGATAAATATATATATATATATATATATATATACCTTTGGTCTGAAAACTCAGACTATAAATAAAATAAAAAACGATCTATTAGTTTCAACCATGTCTATGTGTTCAAATTCAACAATAACATTTATATTAAGCCTCTAGACATGAAAACTTTGATGACATTCTTTAAATCTAAAGGTTGGTAAAAAATAGTCATCAGAAAATATTTACCAAAGAAATAAGATCAAATATTAGTATTATTTTTGAAAGATACCTTAACAGTAGTTGAAAATCCAACAAATACTTTTACCAATCTAGGTAGATAACTATAAAATAGTAGTAAAATAATTATGATCATCAATAAAAAGTACAGAAAAATGTTGTGCCTCCCATAGATGAGGTTTTAAAAGGGATCCATACATTTTCAGTAAAATATATCAAAGGTTTCTAAATATTTGAGGAAGTAAAATGGAAAGGGAACAATGGATGTTTACATAATTTAGAACTACCACAACATGACTATATTTAAGTTTTGATTGAACCTAGGAAACTTTTATGAATTATTAAATGCAGTTAAGATAACTTGCTGTAGTGAAAAGACATAGGATCAAAGCCAAAATTAAATTCATATTTTCATGGTACATGTATCACAATGTCTTCTTATGTTGATTGTATGGGTTGGTGTAGTCTCAGTAAATTAACTGAATTATGAGATAAAAAAAGCATAAATTTCAAAGCTATCTATGAAACTCTTCTCAGGCCAGCTTAGATTTTACAAATCCCATACACTAGATTTTGTGACTCCAGTAAACCCATTATTAGAGACTCAATGATAACTTGCTCATTTACATAAATAGCTTTGAAATTTTGCAATGCGTACCAGACACATGCTTCAAGAAATAGATATACACATCTAGAATTTGTCACAGAAAAATGAAATGTAAATCTTTCTAATTTATTATTTACAGCTTCTTTTGATCCTTGGAAGATGGAAGCTTGGCATTTCAGTTCAGCTACTAATTTCTTCATTCTTTCTTTGAAAAGGTAAAATTTTCATGTATACTATTTCTCACTTTTATTCATGTAGATATTTTCTTCTTTTAGAGTGAGAAAAACAAAAAATAAGTTTCTGATCTTCCTTTTATATGGGATTTTGAAATTAGTTCTGATACAATATTAGAATTAATACAACATCTTAACAAGATAATATATGGACATAAAATTGCCATTATAAAAACCTTATGCTTCTTTTTACCCATTGAAATCATTATTGATTCAAAGTTAACATGAATGTCACCCTTCCATCTACTATACGACCTAGGAGTATGCTTTAACATGAAATCAACTCCTCTAATCATGACCAGGTATCTATGAAAAAGTATGTTGACCCTCTTCTAAATGATGTCAACCACCACATACTCCATCACACTTCTCAACAATTGGCCAAGATTCTAGCAGTGCCCAATGTTTCTCTAGTCAACCTCAGCCTTCTAACCTTGGGGAGAGGCAGCCCCAAATGCTCTAGAAGATAAAAACTAGGATGGCTGATGTAGAAATGAGGCAGACATGCATATAGAGCTGGTAACCTTCCTTAAAAAGTTCATATTGAGCAATTATAGTGCCATCAAAGAGTGAATTCCTTACTGAATGGGCAACTATAAGATGCCCATATTCTAGGCTTAACTTTCTTGCTTTCTATGCATGAGACAATGATCTTCCCATGGCCAAAGACTAGTTAGGAAGGGAGTATTGAATGTATAGGGTCCCCCTTTTGATTTTCTTTTTCACAATCACATTGATATAGTGCAACCAATCTGGTCGCAGTTCCTCAGAAACCATAGTCCT